GCTTTTAATTTTTTTTTTTTTTTTTTTTTTTTTTAACTTCGTAGAATATCTGTTGCCAAATAGAGGGTTCTGTATTCATGATTGTTACTTTTAATAAATTGGTTGAGCTTTGGATTTTTGGTTTATCTGGAAAGCTACTCAAGTCTGCATTCTGCACTGCAGTGTGTATCTAGAAAGCTACTTAAGTTTCACAGTCCTGTTGCTATATTGTGAGGCGTCCGTCTTTATCCTTGGGCAAACTGTCATTGGAGAAAATTTCCTTTTTCAATTATATAGATATATATTTGTAAGCAAGAACTGTGATTCACTGTGCTCAGAAAGTTTTGTGCTTGTTTGGAATTAGAGAATGTTGACTTTTCCTGTCATAAAGCTTTTGTAAGCCAGGGGATTCGCACTCTGTTCAGAAAGTATTGTGTGTGTTTCTAACATGTGTGATATATATAAGCAGGGAAATGCACAAAGACCAGAAGTACGGATTGTATCATGGAATAACGATGAACTTTCAACGGATGCCCTACCTGTACATGGCTTTGAGCATTACAAGGCAAAAGACTATTCTCTTGCTCATGCTCCTTTCTCAGGTTAACATGTTTGTCATTTAAGGTTATGGTCTCTGGATTTCCGGTACTTATATATCTTAACAGCTGTAAAGCATTTTCATATGGATCTAGGTAGCAGCTATGCCGGTGGGCAATGGGCTGCAGGCGATGAACCCCTGTATTATATTGTATCCCCAAAGGACGTAGTCATCGCAAAACCTAGGTTAGTTTTTCATTTCTTATTTGTATTGCATTTTGATATAGTGAATGGTGTATGCAATTATTATATCTACAGTTAAATGTCGTGGACTGATGGCCATATTATAAATCTTTTACTCTTGGAATCTTCTGTTTCTAAGTGATTGATGTTCCTAGCCAAAAGGAAGAACTTCTGAAGGATACCAAAATGACTCAAAATCCTATTTTGCTTTTGGCTTAAATTCTTTTGTCATGGATTTCTAGATGTATTCTTTGCCCCCTCAAGCTGAGGAGTGAGTTGGGGAACCAATTGGCCAATCCTATTGGTTAAGTTATTTAAACATTTTCTTAAAGAAAGTAGCATTTGAAGTCTCAATTTTTGTAATTTATCGTGTGTATCAGGTTGTATTATGGTTAGAATTTCAAATCAAGGGCCAAATCAGATATTATCTCTACATGAAAGTTTTATACATACGTACATACATATGCATGCATATACGTAAAATACATAACCAAGGTTCTTGTTAAACAACGAAACTCATATGGGTCTTATATTAACCCTTTTCTAAACTTCTTGTTTTGTTTTGTGCTAAACTTCTTGTATTTCTAATTTGGCAACTATTAATCTATATGTTTATTGTCATTGTTCCATGAAATTCAGGGATGCTGAGGATCATATAGCTTGGTTGCTTGAACATGGATGGCACGAAAAAGCTTTGGCTGCAGTTGAAGCAGGACAGGGTCGCAGTGAACTCCTTGATGAGGTATCTTAAACTCTTGCTTGTTTTATTTTTTATTTTTGGGTAACATTCTAGTTTGGCATCTACATTTTTAAGAATTACATTTCCCCTCTATTTTCTATAATTTGATTGTAAATCAGAGGAATATTAACAGTGTAGTTGGTTCATATCTATCTACTTAGGTTGGATCTAGATACCTTGATCATTTGATTGTGGAAAGAAAATATGCTGAAGCTGCATCTTTGTGCCCTAAATTGTTGCAAGGATCTGCTTCAGCGTGGGAAAGGTACTAAGGGCCATTGTTTATATTTCTTTGTAAATTGTTGTGAGTAATTGGTGTCCAATTTTTTTGATGTCTTAGACTGAGAATGGACCACTTATCGCAGATGGGTTTTCCATTTCGCTCAACTTCGTCAGCTTCCTGTATTGGTTCCATATATACCAACTGAAAACCCCAGACTGCGTGATACTGCTTATGAGGTTTGTTTGGGAAAACAGTGGTTGCTGTCGTCTCTGTATAGTATTTCTCATGTGCCAACCAGAAAATCTCGCTAATTTGCTTTTCATGGAACAGGTTGCTCTTGTAGCCCTGGCTACAAATCCATCTTTCCATAAGGATCTTTTGTCGACTGTTAAATCATGGCCATCTGTGTTATATTCTGCATTGCCCGTTATCTCAGCCATTGAACCTCAGCTAAATACTTCATCAATGACTGATGCTCTCAAAGAGGTTCAAGAATATGCTTCACCATATGATAATTCTAATTGTTTGATAATTATAATGCAATTCACAGTTCTGGTATTCGTTTCAGGCACTAGCTGAGCTGTATGTAATTGATGGGCAATTTGAGAAAGCATTTTCACTATATGCTGATGTATGTCTTTAATTATTACACGTTTGGAACAAAAATTATTGTTGCCTTAGAATCCATGTCGAGTGCACTACTGAAATCTTTTTTGTTTTCATTCCTCCTGCTTGAAATTTGCAGCTTATGAAGCCAGACATATTTGACTTCATTGAGAAGCATAACCTACACGATTCTATAAGGGAAAAGGTAAAGTTATGTTTAGAACAGCGAAAGCATGGACTGTTATTTAGGGTTTCTGCGGTGGTCTTTATAGTTTTATTACTGGGGATTTTTTTAATTATATTTTATTTGCATCTGTTTCTCAGAATATTGCAGACATGATGGTTTTTTACAAAAAAGAAAAGAAAAGAAAAATTTAGGAATTGGCATCATTACGAATGGTGCTTTTGAAATGAATCTATATTTGCAATGCTTATGGACTCAGTTGAGCCTTGAAACAGATGTCAGGGATTTGGAATTCATGCATTTTGCACAATCCTTATTGAAATTTTCCCTCGTAAACTATTATCTCATTTTCTCTCGTGGAGTCATGTACAGCTCATACTTCATTCCGTTACACAGTTTCTTCATTTATTTTTGTGGTACACGACTTTTCAGGTTGTTCAACTAATGATGCTGGACTGCAAGCGTGCTGTTTCTTTGTTACTTCAACATAAGGATTTAATTACTCCATCAGAAGTTGTCGCACAGCTTCTAAATGCAAGAATAAAGTGTGACTTACGATATTTCTTGCATCTATATCTGCATTCATTATTTGAAGTAAATCCTCACGCTGGAAAGGATTATCATGATATGCAGGTATTGGCATTGGATAAAATAGGTTTGGTTGTCCTGTGAAACTTGTTTCTATTCTAACCAAGGGTGCACTTGAAATCTTCTCTAAAGCTATTGCACCCTCCTTATTTAGGATAATCTATCCCCATCCTTTAAAAAGTTCTTATGCAATTGGTTCAGCATTTCCTTTTTTTTTTTTTCTTTTTTTTGACGGTAGTATTTCCTTTTTTGTGCCATGCGCCTCATCTCATTCATATCTTGTCCTTTGTTTTGGTGTGCTAGGTTGAGCTTTATGCAGATTATGATCCAAAGATGATGCTTCCTTTTCTTCGTAGCAGTCAACATTATACACTCGAGAAGGTTTGAACAGTTGGTGAATGATCAATACATATGATTCTCTAACACTATCTGCGAATTAACACTTGAATCTGAATACCAGGCATATGAAATATGCGTCAAAAGAGATCTTTTGAGGGAGCAGGTATTCATTCTTGGGAGGATGGGAAACGCGAAACAAGCTCTTGCTGTAATTATTAATCAATTAGGTGATATTGAAGAGGTAGAGCCTCATCTTCTTATTCTGGAAATGTTTTCCATTGAGGTTGATTTTTATTTTGCTGTTTATTTTGAGGTTTGCTGATAGCTTAGTTCTTGCTATGTTTTGTTTTGATCTTATTTTGGTTTTATTTTTAGCTTGGAGGATAGCTTGTCCTCTTATACTTTTTTTTTTTTTTTTTGAGGTTTTTTGTTGATTGGGTGAGTTTTATAATTGCATACAGGCCGTGGAGTTTGTTACGATGCAGCATGATGATGAGCTTTGGGAAGAATTGATTAAGCAATGTCTTTACAAACCAGAAATGGTATATCCATTCAATACGATTGCACATATGTATAGTTTGTTCTGCGAACATTTTACTAGTTTACTGTTTTACATGTTTTGAGTGTTTCTGCTAATTGGCAGGTCGGCATGTTGTTGGAACACACAGTTGGCAATCTTGACCCTCTCTATATTGTGAACATGGTTCCAAATGGCCTGGAGATACCGAGGTTAGTATGACCAGAGTGATGTATGTTGTTTTCTACAAATTTATCTTGTTCCTTCTACATATGCATACTTGGACATTTCTATCTATATGTACGCGTGTATCAGCATTTTTCTTGAAACCTATATAAAACTTAGATGCTTATTGCAAATTGGCTGCAAAAAATTGAGACTAGTAAGGCATTTTTGGAGCATTTATGCTGATAATCTGATTCTTTCTTTCAGGCTTAGGGATCGGCTAGTCAAAATCATCACTGATTATAGGACAGAAACATCTCTTAGACATGGGTGTAATGCTATCCTCAAAGTAATCATGTGCTTCCCATTATATTGTTTCCTTTCATTTTGATAGAGAACCATGAGATAAATCCTGACATTTTTCGTGAAATGAGAAACAGGCGGATTGTGTCAACCTCCTGGTTAAATACTACAATGAGGCAAAACATGGAATTTACTTAAGCAATGAAGAAAACGAAGCACGAGGGATAAGGAACGACAGCAGAGCTCCTCAAGCAATTGAGAAATCTTTGAGTATTAGAAACATGAGTGTCAAGTCAAAAACTAGGGGAGGGGGAAGGTGTTGCATGTGTTTCGATCCTTTCTCCATTCGAGGTGTCTCGGTCATTGTATTTTTCTGTTGTCATGCCTATCATACGACTTGTCTTATGGACTCCACCTATACGAGTGCCAATAAAGCGAGTGGGACTACTCGGGACCAAGTGTCAGAATATGAGTACGATAATGGTTATGATGATAATGACGATGATGATGCCGAATCGGGTACCCCTCGTATGCGTTGCATCCTATGCACTACTGCTGCTAGTTGAGTTACGCGATACGAGCATGTGTGTGTGTGCGCTTCTAGTGTAACCGTATATTTCTACTGTGAATAGGGCGTTTTTTATGTGGGGCTTTAACGGCCTGCATCATGATATTTATTATTTTGTCTCATGTTTTTTGTTGAGATATCGATTTGTGTATTATATGACCACAGTGAGCGGCTTTTTTCTTTTCGCTTCTCTGTTTGCTGAGCATTCTTGTATCGATTCGCCCTACCTTTTGTTTTCAGTTTCTGGTTTTCCTAGCTTTCGGGTACGCTAGTTGCTAAATTGTGGGAGTGGAAATGTACCATATTTGTTGTAATAGTAAAAATTTGATTCATGCTAGAGAAATTGGTACTGTGTTATCATAATTTCTCTGTTTTTATTCTATTTTATGAATATCTTAAAAGAATGTAATCATCAATTTCTTTTAGACTCTTGAATTGAAACCATACTCTCCCTTCGTCCTTTTATTATCACTTCTGTTTTATTGATGACACTTATTGTAAATACTAAATCAAGACCACTCGAACCTTGAAATTGGATGTGACAAACAATATGATGATGGAACTTGGAGAACTGGTATCATTAGCTTATTATTATTTGGAAGGCTGCATCGTTAACAAGTAGAACAAGCTTGTTTCCAAAATCAATCCAAAATCAACTTTGTAACTGTCGTAAGCAAAACAAGAATCCGTTTACTTGAACTGTAGGGATACCCCAGTTCACCATTTCATCCTGCAGAATTGAAGGAAACTAAAATCTCCATGGACATGATCCAACGAAAGATGCAGGAATTATCATTTAACATGATAATGCTAGTGCAGCTTTTCTTCGTTATGACGATGACTTCGGTATCCCTATCCTCAACTAATCTCAGGACAGAAGGATTTGGAATGGTTAATATTAGAGAGAAAGTGATGAACAAGAACCATGCGACACTGCCATCAGACTCGCAGTGACCATTTTAATTACAAGCCAGAGAGTGATACCACCTCCCAACACAAATATATTGTGAATTTCAAGCACTGGGGTGGTGCCAATACTTGTTCTCCAATCTTCGTCTACACCAGACACGAAGCACCAATCGACGCTGCAGTGTCTGGTGCTGGATTTATGGTTGATCTCGCTTCTCGTTTCAATGGTCTATTGCTTTACATAGAGGTCAGTCAGTGGCTTGTGTTCCAATAACAGTCTTTGATTTCAAAAGCATCTAAAGCCTATTTCTTAGTAACTTTGAGATTTGATGAAAATGACTGTTTCGGGATTGAATTCTTAAACTTTTCATCTTGTGGAGTTAAATTTATGCATTTCATGATGTTCTATTAAGAGCAAGTGTTTCTACTCTTTGAGATCGCCCAAGTATGCCCAATACTTTGAATGGGAAAAGAAAAAAGGATTTGCCAAAGTAGTGAAAAGCACCTGCAAGTTACAATGGAGAAGGAATATTCTCACTTCTTTGTCATTACAGCATCGATACTAGGGAGATTCAACGCCATTTGGATCCGCCGAGGAAGCTTTCCAAAACGCCAGCACACTCGGATTCTTCAGCTCCACACAAACTTTGGCAGATTATGCGCAGCTTATAACAGATCTAAAGAAGAATCTCTCTGCTGAAAGTTATTGCAGTTGGCGGATCCTACGGTGGAAGTATGTTCACAATCACACACTACTAGCTCTCAACTGACTGTTTTTCACGGATGTTCAACTCATGACTTTTCTTGTTACTTGTTTGTTATTTTTAGTGCTTGCATCATGGTTTCGCCTAAAATATCCACATGTTATCGCCGGCGATTCGGCGTCATCCGCTCCGATTCTCTACTTCGACGACATTACTCCACAAAATGCATACCATGTCATTGTCACAAAGGATTTTAGAGTAAGAAGGGAAAAGATCATAGGCCCTTGATGTCTTAAATCTATTTTCCGTATTGTCTTCAAGAATTCTTTTTCCTTTGTTTTTTTTGGCTTCTGGTGCAGGAAACTAGTGAGAGTTGTTATAATACAATAAGACAATCTTGGTCTGAAATTGATAGAGTTGCAGCAGAAAAAGGAGGACTTGAGAAGCTTAACACACTCTTCAGTAGTTGCACGTTATAACATTTTCCCAAGTATAAGTGGGATAGAAATTGCCGGGAGCTGAAAAAAAAAAAAAAAAAGAAGCAAATAATATGGAAAAAATATATATAAAAAAGATTATTAGACTTTTGTTAACGTAACATGATATTAAATAAACATAACATTTGTGTTAAAAAGGAATAACAAAAGTCTAGAATAATTAAATTTTCTAGTTTTACGTATTTCAGTGTTATATTAAATATCATGTTATGTTTCTCACTTTTATGTGTTACGGTGAAAGTACGGTCTTTCTAAGAGGCTCGTTAAAAATTATTAAATTATGAGAATATAGTTATTAGTTTCATTATTAAATGGGTGGGAGCAATTATTAAATAGGCGGTAATTGAAATTTTAGCAAAATTTTATATATGAAAAATGAAATTGAGAAATATCAGTGGGCTATGTACAGCTTTGCCAATGAGAAGCCAATGAGAAGAAGGTAGGTTCTCATTTCCTCCCGTAATGTGTTTTATTACCAACAAATTTAGGAGTTTAGTTTTATGGACACAAGTCTTTTTTTTTTTTTTTTTCCCGATTATTGCCTTAGTTATATGCTTGGTTTGGAAACTGATGATGTCTTTTATTTCCTCTTCGAGTTAAGGCCTTTTAATTCATCAAATCAGCCGAATGACTACTTAGGATTCTTATATGAATATTCAGCTCAATACGACAATCCTCCGAGTAATTTAGTGAGCTCTCTATGCGACACCATTGATGGAGCACCAAAGGGAAGTGATGTTCTTGACAGAATTGCAGCAGCAGCAAATGATAATCTTGTGCTGCCATGCCATATTGCATTTGATTATTTACACAACCAACGATACGATGGGTGGATATGGCTGGTATTTGGTATTTGCTATTGCATTTGATTATTGGATAGTTGTTTTTTATAGAAAGTGGTCGTTCCAGATTGTCTTGTAGTCATTTTGTAAATAAAATTTTTAGAAAAGTTATTAGAGAGTTTTTCTGACATGCCAACATACTGATAGAGTCAATTTTCTTATCATTGGATTTAGTTAAAATCACATAAAATAAAAAAAAAATATATAGAATAGATAGTTTCTATAAAATTTGACTACTAAAAACGGTGAATTACTGATAATTTATTTTTTCTAATCCTACCAGAAAATTATTATACCAATAAAACTTTGAAGTTTCTATAAAATCTGACTACTAAAACTTTGATCTCCCAACGAGACAAAGAGATCAAAATAATTGAATTCTGGATTGCAGAGCCCAAGACCAAGAAAAATGGTAATTATCACGAGTGATCATGACCATCACTACTGGCTTTTAATCAGTTAACGGTCGATCGACATTAATATATTATGTGGGATCTCTATTCATAATTTGTACGTTACATAATTAACATGTGAAATTGTGATTGGTTGAATAAAACATATTCTGATGATCATCAATGAAGATTTATAGTATTGTTCTAAGATCAGCGCCGTAAAAAATAAAAAAAATGTATAGGTTGTTGATTATCTTTTATTTTATTTTATTTTATTTTCCTTTTTTGATTGACTCTAGCATTGTCGTAAAAAAAAAAAAAAAAGAGTCAAGCATTAGTGATATTTTAGAATTTTAATGAAATATAATGAAATAAAATAAACAAATAAGGTTAATGTGTGAGGTGTGAGAGAATTCGTTATAATCATGTAAATAAATCTTAACTATTGGTGAAATGGACCATTAGATTACTTGATTGAAGTAAAAAAAGAAAAAAAAAACATATTAAACACGTAAAAATATCCAATTAATAAAATGACGAAGCACCAAAATAGGACGGCAAGCAACTATATATAAATATACGATATACGTTTTTTTTTAATTAATTATATGTTATGCGTTACAAATTATAATAGTCACGATTCTTTCCAGCAATATTTGAATAAAGAAATTGAAATGCCAAAACGAGTCAATAATGATTCCAATTAAATATTTACAAGGTTTTGTTTCTCCCTCAAGCGTCTATGTCTAAAACCAATATAGTTAAAACGTCTTTGAGGGGAATAAAAAAGGTCAATGGTCAACTTGTGTGTTACAAATTTACAACCAAGTTCTGTCGGAAAATTTCGTTTTTAAAACAAAATTTAAAAATCAATCATATACGTGATTGTAAATTGATATATTAATCCGCTGATAATCTAATTATTAAATAACAATTTATCAAGATCAATCATTAATTTACCGAAAATCAATCAAGAATTTACGATTGTCAATTTTTTTTTTATAATAAAAGAACATTGTTTAAATTTAACACAGCTAAATACATCTATAAAGGCGTTAATTTTCAAATATCTGTCCCTTTCCATTTATGATCTATACCAGCCTGGATTAATATGCCGGCCGACAGACGACAGTGATATATTGAGGTTTACGAAGTTGATCATTTAACTAAAATTCATCAATATGCGCATCTATCATTAATTAATAATGAAAAACGCGTGCGTTTAGAAAGGAGATTCATGTCATGGTTCGAATTATAATTCGTTGTTCGCTACAGTATTTTCTTTCATAAAAAATACATGTAAAACGAAAATGATTTTAAATCATGGTTCTAAATCCATAAACTAAACGTCTAATAAATTACTTTCATATGGAAAATCATTCTTGATAAAGTACATGGGAAAGGACTGGTTTTCATAGTGCAATATGTCATTACTTCTTGGATTTTTTACTTGCGGAACTTTAGACCTTACAGGCTTAATATATACTCTCACTAGTGCGGATTCAATTTTAGGGTTATTTTCATTTAGTTTTATAAAATTTAAGAATTTCCTTTTTTTTTTGCCTCACAGTCAAAGAAAGGGTAAGTTAAGTGTGGTAATGTATCTATTTTTATTTATTTTAATTTTAATGAAAATTTAAACAGAAAAGATTAAGTGAGATTAATTTAAAATTAAGATAGTAAAATCTTAAAATGCGAATGGGAACACTAAGGAGAATACCTTTTATATATGCAGCCAAAAGACCCAAACCCTTCAACCCTTTTGCCATGAAGAACTTCAACGTTGAATAAAATTCCAAGACTAAGTCTAACTGGTCATCACGAAACGTTCCTTCCCGACACCGAATCTCCGTCGGCAGATTCTCGTTCGGAAGATTATGAAACGTTTTTCTACAACCAAACACTGGATCACTTCAACTACAGGCCCGAGAGTTACTCAACTTTTCAGCAACGATATGTTGTGAACTCCAAGTATTGGGGAGGTTCTAACGCACCAATA